CTCTTGTGAATGCCTTGTAGTTTATAGTGTACAGGTTTTGCATTTCTTTTGTTAAAATTATTTCTAACTCATTTGTTCTTTTTTGCTACTATCGTGAGTGAATAGACTTTTTAGATTTCATTTTTGGTTTTATTGTTTGTATACAGAAATGCAGCTGGTTTTTGTGTATTGGTTTTATATCCTACCGACTTCCTAAACTTTCTTATTAATTCTAGTAGTCTTTTTTGATTTTTGATAGATTCCTTAGGATAATCTCCACAAGGGAGCATGTCACCTGCAAGTAAAGACAGTTTTAACTTTTACTTTCCAGTCTGCCTTTTTTTTCCCTCCTTGCCTTATTGCATTGGGTAGAACCTTGGTACACTGTTAAATAGAACTGATGAGAGTGAACATCCTTGCCTTGTTCCCAGTTAAGTATGATGTTAGTTGTAGGTGTTTATTCATAAAAGAAGGGTCATTTAAACATTGAAACAATTAATTTAATCCACCATATTAATGAAGAACAAAAAACATGGTCATCTCAATAGATGGAGAAGAAGCATTTGACGAAATCCTGCCCTCATTTGTGATTTAAAAAAACAAACTAAAGTATTAGGTATAGAAGGGAATGAAAAACCTATAGCAAATACCATAATTAATAGTGAAAGACTGAATGTTTCTCCCCTAAAATGCAGGGACAAGGCAAGGATGTCTGCTTTCACTGCCTCTATTCAACACTCTCCTGACTGAAAGTTCTCATCCTAATTTTTCTCACTGTAAACTTTATACAGTGTATTTTAGATCATGTGGAAAATATTAAGAAAAAACAAAAACAAAATGTCTCTTTATCCTACCAACTAGAATTACCCCTGCAGCATTTTTGTCTCCTTCTGTATACTACTTGTATGTATGTGTGTATGTTAAAATCCAGAAAAAACAAAACTTGTTGCCATCGAGTCGATTCTGACGTGTTAGTAAGTATATACGTTACAAAAAAAACAAATTTGAGATCATATTTTATTCTTGTCTCTCTGTGACCTCATTTCTCACCATTTTCTTCCTTGCTCACTACTAGCCACTTTTGTCCGCTTTCAGTTCCTGGAGCAGACCAAGTCCTTTTATTTTTTTGCTTCTTGGCCTTTGTAAATGCTGTTCCTTCTATTGGAACTACTAACTTCATTCTTTGCACTAGGAGCTTTAGCTTGTTTAGATATCATCTTAAATGTCATTTCTTCCCAGAAACTTTTCCTCATCACTTCATGTAAAGTAGCTTCCTTTCTACCTCTTGTGTTGTTTGATTTCAGTTATTTTATCTATTTTCCGTCTCCTTGTTTTTTGTTTTTTGTTTTTTTTTTCCTTTTCTGGTCTGTTTCCCATGAGGGACTGTACTTGTCTTGTTCAGTTCGTCATTCCAGCGCTTAGCATGATGCCTAGTCCCTAATCTGTCTGACATTTTGTTCAAGTAACAAATGAGTAGTTTAGTATATTGCTTTCTTGACATTGTGTTCTGATAATTTTACCATGTCATTACATATTCTTTGAAAACGTATGTTTTAATGATTCCATAATACTCTACAATGTGATTACACCAGAGTTATTTAAATGTTTTCTTATTCTTGGACCATGGTTCTTGCCTTTATGATTGGTGAGGTTCAGTTTTATTGACTTAGATTTAAAGCTGATTTATCCATTTATTAATATTGATCTGTGTGTCTAGTTTATTTTATATTATCCTTTGTTAGTTTCTATCATTTAAGTATCCTTTTCATTTATCTTTCATGTTGTCAGATGTTTAGCTCGAAAGGGGTATTTTGTTGTTGTGTGCCATCAAGTTGATTCTGACTCATAGCGTCCGTATAGGACAGAGTAGAATTGCCCCATAGGGTTTTCTAGGCTGTAATCTTTATGGGAGCAGATCACCAGGTCTTTTCTCCCATGGAGTTGCTGGTGGGTTTGCACTGCCGACCCTTTGGTTGGCAGCTAAACACTTAGCCATTGCACCACCAGGGATCTTTAATAGAGACAGACCATTAAAACAAAGATGTCTAGAATGTGGCAGAATATCAGACACAAATTGTGGGCTTAGGATATTTTTAATTATTTACGTGGAAAATGTAGACTCATGAACTTTATATACTAATACCATGTGTTTTGCACCACCTGAATGGTGGTGGGTAGTTCTAGAGAAAAGTCAGAATTTATGTATCAGAGACCTGCTACGGTCCTGTCTTGTTTTCCAAGTAAAATATACGAGGGTTTGAATTCCATTTCAACCCCTTATTAGCTTTGTAATGTAAGATATCTAAACTCAGTTTCCTAATCTATAATCTGAGAATAATAGTCATCTCATAAAACCCGTTCCTGTCAAGTCAGTTCTGACTCGTAGTGACCCTGTAGAGTAGAGCTGCCCAGTAGGGTTTCCGAGGAGTGGCTGGTGGATTCTAACTGCCAGCCTTTTGGTTAGCAGCCGAGCTCTTAACCACTGCGCCACCAGGGCTCCCGTCATCTCACAGGGTTGTTAAAAAGATTAAAGATTGTGTATGTGACAGTCGTAGTGCAATTTACACATAGTAACTACCCAATAAGCAATAGTTATCATTACTTGCTAAGTCTCTCATAGTTCTGGGAGTTTGAGTCTGAGCAGTAACTGTAAGGTAGCTTATTCTTCAAGGAGTCAGCAGCAGATACTGACCAGCTGTTAATAGTGTTCCTCTGAAGATGTTTACTTCTACTCTTGTCAGGGGTTGGTAGTTTTCTTCACTGTTTGGAGACCCTTTCTCATCTGTGCAGCTGTACCAAAAAACACTTAGCCTGAAAGGTAGTATTTTAAAGTCCCATGAAGTTAGATCTTTTGACATTTGTTTGTAGGTCATTTTTTGTAGTATTCTTAAATATAGTTATGGTTACTTTCTTGTTCCAACTTTAAAATAAAAGGTAATAGTTTTTTTTTATTCAAGAAGGAAAGCAATGTAATTAAACAAGTAGATTCTACTGGAATTTGAGTAGTTTGGTAGGTAATATTGAAAGGGACAAAACAAGGTTGACTTGGGTACAGCTTCAAAAATTGGAGTCTGGGGATTTAGGAAGTTCCCCAAATTCTAGGTACGTTCTAATAGAATAATATGATTGTGAATGTGGTTATTTTTAGTTCACATGTGAATCACTGCCAGTTATAAATACTTGGGGAAAATTATTGTTCTCTACTTCTTTTAGAATTCCTATCAGAATTTTACCAAGGCTCGATTTGAGTCCGGGATCTGTAATTTGGGGCATGTCACATATGCAGCTCTGCTCAGTGTCTTATCCCCTCTATAAAATGGGATACTCTCTCCTGTGCTCATTTCACAGTTATGAGGCTCAAATGAGGTCATGTCCATGAAAGCGCTTTGTAACTGGTAAAGCACGTAGCTTACTTAATCGTTACTCCAGTTCATCTTGTCAGACCTGCCCCTTTCTCACAACTGCTTGGTAGGTCACTGGTGGGGTGGCGTGATAGCCCAGAACTCTGGTACAATGTGCACCACCTCTTAGGAGTGTTTGTTTTATACTTGCACTAGGGAGTGGACGGTTTTAGATTGCTGTTCTTCTCATCCTTCAATTTATTTTGCTTATTAGAAGAATAGTACATGATTATTTTAGAGAAATTAGAAAATCTGAGTCAGCAACGGTAAAAATCACCCTAAATCCAGAAATAATTACTGCATTTATTTTTGTATAGTTTTAAAACATAGCCTATTATGCTGAACATAATGTTGTTACTTGTTTTTAATCACTTAATCTGTAGCGTTAACAATATATCATTTCATATAACTTGTTTTTTTTATATAATATTTTTAATTACATAGTACTAAACCTTTGGTATACCATAATTAATAAATAATGAGTCCTCATTTTTTAATTTTTACATGTAATGACTTTATAATTTTTTTCTATTGCAAATGTTTATAATAAACATCCTATGGCTTAATATTTGTGTATATCCTCGATGTTTTCCTTCTTTAGAATAAATTTTAAACGTGGAATTGCTGCATCAAGGGTCATGTGACGTTTAATGCATTTGATATTTTCTTAGAGTTTTTAAAGGGTAGTTGACATCTAATAAAGTATACAAATTTAAGAGATACAACTTGATAAGTTTTGACATATATATCCGTGGAAACTAGCACCATAGTTAAAATAATACCTCTTTTTAATCCTTCCCTCCTGCTCCTTTCCACCTCTCTATCCCCAGATAACCACTAATATGTTTTTTTCTCGCTGCAAACTAATTCGCATTTTCTAGAATTTCATGCAAATGGAACCACACACTATGTGTTCTTTTTTGTCTGCCGCCTTGTATAGTATAATTATTTTGAAATTTACCCATTTGTTTATATTAATTGTATATTCCTTTTTATTGCTGAATAGTAAATATTCCATTGTTTGGCTAGACCATGATTTATTCACTTATTGATGGACATTTGGATTGTTTCCAGGTTTTGGTTTTTACAAATAAAGGTACTATGAATGTTCTTGTACAACTCTTTGTGTGGACATAAGGCATTTGATATTTATTACCAGATTTTGTGCCGGAAAGTTTATATAACTGGTATTGTGAAAATAGAGAAGTTTAATATGAGAGAAACTGTAGCCACTATTTTCTTTTCTGTTTTTAGTTTTTCATTTTTGAAATGTATCTTTGGGAGGATCTAGATTTTTAGAGGTGACTTAATTAATTTGACAACACTCAAGAAGTTTGAAGTTAACAAAGGTTAATAAGTACTATCAACCTTTTTCATACTTGATTTTCTTGAAATGCCTTCTTTTATCAAGTAAACGTATTGTTCAGAAAGCAAGGCTCTCTCTTGCTTTCCTTCAGTGAACTAGTATTCATAAACAATTCCTATTTCCCTGCCAAATGACTATGTCTACATTGAACTTGAGCCAGAAAAGGTACTGGGATAAGCTTTCAGAATTTCACAAAAGATATTCCAGAATCTGGTTTGGAAAAGATGTCAAGCTACTTTTTTCCTCTTCCTAAGATGCCCGCTTGACTGATGGAGTACCAGGGAATCTGAAGACTCTAGATGACATCAGAGCTCCTTTTCAACAGCCTTCTCAGTTTCCTTTCTCAGAAAGCAGAGGCTCAAACTTTGGAGACAGACGGTGAGAATATTTTTTCCTGATTGAGTTCTTAAGGCTTAATCATTGTGACTTTAATATATTTCAAGCCATTTTTTCTCAGTTATAAATTAGCTTGTAATCACCAGGTATGTATCTTGTGCTTTATCTGTGCAAATTACTTCATTAGGCAATGTGGTAAAAATTTTAAAAATGAGTAAGATATGATCCTACAATTAAGGAACTCACAGGAAAAGACTAAGTGTAGATTAATAAATGTAATCAAACAGTAGAAAGAGGTGAAATGCCATAAGAAAGACATGAAAAGAATTCTTGAGAATCCAAAGGCCTAGAATACTTCTGGATGGAGGGATCAAGAAACTTGAAAGAAAATATCACACTTGCATTGATGATAACTTATTTTTACCAAAAAGCAGGGAAAATGGACAGAGTTAATGCAAACCTGAAATAGCAGTCTGATTTCAGATAAAAAGTCAGTGATTGTTTTGAGGAAAAATAGAGGTTTTATGTTTGGTTATTGTGTGTCTGTTATAGGTCAGTGATTATTTTTTAAATTATATAAAATTATTTTTCCCTTATAAGGCAAATAGTATGTTACATTTCTGAGAAATGGTAAAATACTCTAAATTAACACAGGTAGGTGGGCAGTGAAACAGAAAGAGATGAGTGAACGGTTAATTCTACTTGGATTAACACTCCTGATTTTGAGTATAGCTACAGCCTAAATGAATTAGTCATGTCTTAAGCTCTTGGACATTATACTGCTTATAACTGGACAGAAAGAATCTAAGTAAACTAGGAAAAGGCACAGTGATTGAAGTCTTCACAACTAACTATACACACAATAATCACTTTCAGTTAGCTAACTGAAGACTATTCAGAAGAGAAATAACAGATAGAACATCCTAAAATTCAATGTTTAATTGGCCATGATATTTCAAAAAGAGGATAGGAACTTTCAGCCACATTTTTTCTTTATCTGTAGATATAATATTACGGTTGGCACATGACAATACTAACTTGTTTTTCTTCACAATTCTGCTTATATTCAGAAAACCTAGTGTGATGGTTAAGATTGTGTGTCAACTTGGCTGGGCCATGATTCTCCATATTTTAATGTAATCACTCCCGTGATTGAATATACTGTGAGTAGCCAATCACATGAAAGGGAGACTCCTTGGGTGTGTGGCCCGCATCTGTGTATAAGCAGACGTTCTGGCTTTTTGCTCTCTCTGGATCCTGTGGCTGCTTCCTGTCGTCTCATCTCCCGTTCTTGGGACTTGAGCTGTCAGCTTATCTGCCGAACCTGGGATTCGTC